GAAAATTGCTGGAAGAAACATTAACAACCTCAGATATGCAGATGACACCACTCTGATGGCCGAAAGCGAGGAGGAGCCAAGGAGCCTTCTAATCAAGGTGAAAGAAGAAAGCGCAAAAGCCGGGTTGCAGCTAAACATCAAAAAAACCAAGATTATGGCAACAAGAGTGATTGACAACTGGAAAATAGAGGGAGAAAATGTGGAGGCCGTGACAGACTTTGTATTTCTAGGTGCAAAGATTACTGCAGATGCAGACTGTGGCCAGGAAATCAGAAGACGCTACTTCTTGGGAGGAGAGCAATGTCCAATCTCGATAAAATAGTAAAGAGTAGAGACATCACACTGGCAACAAAGATCCGCATAGTCAAAGCCATGGTATTCCCTGTAGTCACCTACGGATGTGAGAGCTGGACCTTAGGGAAGGCTGAGCGAAGGAAGATCGATGCTTTTGAACTGTGGTGTTGGAGGAAAGTGCTGAGAGTGCCTTGGACTGCGAGAAGATCCAACCAGTCCATCCTCCAGGAAATAAAGCCCGACTGCTCATTGGAGGGAAAGATACTAGAGACAAAGTTGAAGTACTTTGGCCACATCATGAGGAGACAGGAAAGCCTAGAGAAGACAATTATGCTGGGGAAAGTGGAAGGCAAAAGGAAGAGGGGCCGACCAAGGGCAAGATGGATGGATGGCATCCTTGAAGTGACTGGACTGACCTTGAGGAAGCTGGGGGTGGTAACGGCCGACAGGGAGCTCTGGCGTGGGCTGGTCCATGAGGTCACGAAGAGTCGGAGACGACTGAACGAATGAACAACAACAACAACAGGATGACATCATTTGTTGCATGCTATCTTTGTGTACCATCATTATTGTGCATCAGTTACTAAAACATTGCCAGCAATATTTTTCAGCTTCCTCTATCCTTCCCCAAGCCATTCTGCCCAAGGGTGGGCAGAATAAAGATGAGTCTGGACTAGGAGAGCACAAGCATTATTCTTTTTGGAGCCTTGAAGATGATGAAAAACAGGCTTCACAAAGATTCACTTGCTCACCCCTGCACTAAATGGTGCTATTATGAAAAGGGGGAGATAACTTGTGAGGGGCCTTAGACAGCATGGCTCCAAAAGAGCCAAAATGAGACCCTAGCCCCTGAGTTTCCTTAAGGAGTCATGAACATATATTTGTTGTGTCCATGGGCTCCTGGTCTTTCTTAATGCCTTAATGTTTTGAGAACATTATCAGTGTTTCCCATTAAATGGATATGCGTAGATTTGATCAACCAAATGTGCTTTAAAAACTGTTTTGGTCTTAACATTGAGTACACGAGAATGTATAGCAAGATTGGGTCAAGAGCAATTCTGGAGCTTCAGACAGTCCCCTGGGGTTCTTTTTGTGGCCCTCCAGATGTCCTGAACTACCTTTTTTCCTAAGCAAAGAAGGAGAAACTTAACTCTCTTGGAAACCAGCATGAGCAGACATCTATCCTTTACATCTATAGTGGAGGTTCCACCACTGTGAAACATAAAATTTCTTGTTTTTCAAAGCAGAAGAGGGCTTTTAGATGTTTAGTTGTTTGGAGTAGAAAATTGGTCCCAGTTCCACCATGCTTGCCACTCCTTCTTTGGAGTCTCCTTTCTAAACAGGAGATGACAGTAATCTGTCAGACATGATTTGCATGTGCACAGCAGGGTTTAGACTGGATTACCCTTGTGGTCTCCTCCAACTCTTTGATTCTATCCTTATGTAAAAGACTGAACTTGTGTATGTAGTCTTCCAAACTGCTGGATTGGACTATAGATTTGAGAATTCAGTGCACACGTCAGAGTAAGCTCTATTGTGCAGAAATGATACATAACATGAATTTAAATATTTGTTTTTTTATTGATGGTGAGTGTGACCATGATATAGAATCATCTCAACAGAGGTTTCTATCCATTCGTCCTCAAAAAAATAGTGACATAACATTAGAGTTTTTCTTTTAGTCCTTTTCTACCAGCCTCCCCCCTTTTAAAAAATTGTAAGGCTTCCACTGAATACAATGTTTGGAGATCAGAAAACCACATTTCAGAAAACTAGCCAGGGAAAAGGCATTTTGTTTTATACTATTTACAGCTAATCCTGAAAACACAACAAGTGACTGTAGTATATCCTCCTCAACAAACACTGGTGCTCAGGGAATAAATCTCATCAATAAGTAAAATAAAAGTTTCCAAGGCTGAAGCCTCTCATATTTGGCTTTGTTTTTCCATCTTTTCTTTTAACTTTTGTGAAAAACAAAGACTTTTCTACCATATCCCTCCCCCAGCCGAGTAGCAGAACAGACCCCTAGCTTAAATGAGTTGATAAAATATTTATTTTAAAAAATTATATCTTACCATATGGCTTTCAAAAGCCCCCAGGACAGCTTACAAAACATTAGAAAACAATATCACAGTAATTCTGTTTTTTAAAAATTTAAAACATTAAAACAATTCAACATATTAAAATCCCAACTAGAAAATCAGCAAAAAGAAAAAGAAATGAAAGAACACCAGCAAGCAGCAGGGTTATTATTGTAACATCTCTCAGAGCAATCAAAACTGCTAACAAAACAAGAACATCAAATCCAGGCAACTCAACTTTCTATAGTTCAAAGCACATAAGAGGGAGGGTGGGCCATACACCCATGCCCTCCAACATTTCACAAAGGAAAACCAGGACACATGGAGCCAAGCAATATCAGAATGTGGTCAAGGTGGCAAGAGTTATTAATAAGGATGCATGTACAAGCTGGTAGAGTGCAACAGGAAGGCCGAAGTTCCTTGATATACTCCTTCTTTCTCTTCTACCACTAAGTTCAGTGCAAGCTATCTTTTGTTCTTTGCACTTATGTTGCACCAATTGAATCATAGAATCATAGAATAACAGAGTTGGAAGAGACAACAGGGCCATCAAGGTCAACCCTCTGCCATTCAGAATAAGCACAATCAAAGCACTCCTGACTGATGGCCATCCAGCCTCTGTTTAAAAGCTTCCAAGGACAAAAGGAGAAAGTGGAAGGAGGAGAGCAAAACTGGGGGTACATCTACACAGGTCATTTATCCCAGGGATGATCTGGAGTGGAATACTCAGTCCTGGGGAAATTCACATTAGTTAGTGAGAGTCCACATCATCCAGTGGTGCCTTCTCCCTTCCCCTCTCTGAGTCAGTGTGGTGCTTCTACAAGCATCAGCAGAGGCGAGAAGTGACAATCAGGGGTGCTTTTAGTGTCTGGTCACTGCTACAACAGCAACAAGATAGATAGACACCACGACATTTGTTGGATAGGACATCCAGTAAATGGAGTTTGCTTTTCCGATGTAGGTTATCCATCTGATTTAGAAGCCTTGTGTGAATGAAAAGATCCTGAAATATTTTTAATTTCCTAATGCATGACAGAGATTAGTAACATTATGTTTTATGCAGAATCCCTCAAAGCCAAATTCTGTGGGCAGCACTTTAGTAAGGGATAATAATAAATGATACAGGTAGAACAATGCTGACAGATATCTAACTTGTGACTTGAAATTCAGCCTGCCACCCAGATATTGATGTTTTCAAATTGTTTGAAGCAATCAGATGACTTTTTTCCCCAGAAACTTCATAAATATTCTGGAAATGTTTTCTATCATTCACCTTTAAATCCTAGACTTTGTATGAGGTTTTATGCAGATGTATCTCTCCTGAGAAAAGTTTCCAAATAGAGTCCTAGCGAAACCGGTTTGTCTCTATAACTTCTAGTATTTACATTGTTACTCTCATTTTATTTTGCTGCAAATGTATTTTTGAATATTATTCTGTTTTTATCACATTCCTGTTGACATCCACAATTATTTAACCCTTATTTAAGTATTTCTCTACTCTCAAAGTTTGTGTCTTGTATCACCTTTTATGGAGGCTCAGAAGCATTACTGAAGAGTAGAGTTCAGCTACCATTAAACAACAGTAAGCTTGTTAAGAACCATGTATTTTTTCTTAAAATACAATCTCTACAATAGCTTTCTTTAAAAAGAGCCATTTACAGTCTTACTCCAAATAAAACACAACAACATTGTTAATAATGGTCAAATTAGAAATGGCCAATTTTCTCCATCATTTGTGATTATGCTTTTTGAAAAACCTTTTCTGACTGTTATATGGTCATAAATAGCCTGATTTCTACTAATGTATTTGTTCTATCTAATTATTCAATATAATGATTTCGAACAAACAGTGGCAGACCTATGGGATTTTCCTTTCCATTTACATGGATGAGTTGCCATTGACAGTCTTGGTGAGTCAATACATTAATGTAACATTTTTCTGATACCCAATAGGATCAGTGAAGACTTTTTGAAGAAGCTGGAAAGAATGACAAACAGAAGATCATAGAATATTCATTTCCTCTACATTATTACAGTTTACTTGATTTTTTCTTCTTCTATAAAAGACATTTGCCAATGTATAATAAAGAGCAGGAGTGGACATAGGCGGGATTAGGATCTTTAAGAAGATATCTTAATTATTTCCAATGCCTGATTGTTTGAACATTAGTAGCAATAAGACATTTCAAATTATACTGTTAAAAGAATACCAGTTTGAGTTAACTAAGACTTGATTTTTGTACAAAAAATGACTTCCATTTCCTTCTAGTAGGTAAAGGTTTTCCCTGACATTAAGTCCAGTTATGTCCAACTCTGGGGGATGGTGCTCATCTCCATTTCTAAGCCGAAGAGCTGGCATTGTCCATAGACACCTCGAAGGTCATGTGTCCAGCATGACTACATGGAGTGTCGTTATCTTCCCACCTGAGCAATACCTATTGATCTACTCACCTTTGCATGTTTACAAACTGTTAGGTTGGCAGAAGCTGGGACTAACAGCAGGAGCTCACCCTGCTCCCCAGATTCAAACCTGCAACCTTTCAGTTAGCAAGTTCAGCAGCTCAGCAGTTTAACCCATTGCACCACCAGAATTCCGGCCTTGAATGTATTTTCTTTTAATTGCAGAAAATCCTGATTTGTGGATCTTAGAACAACAGAAGGAAATTAAAATATGTACATACCATAACTCAGTGTGGGTCCCATATGGAAGAAAAGCAAGGTAAAAAAAAAGAAATGATAGAAAAAGTCTTAGTTCATCACACTGCTGATGAACATTCTTACCGTAATATATTTCTCCCATATACAACAAATGAATTGTTTACAACAGTTTTGGTGAATGGTTCTTCACAAACATGTGATTCCTTAACTGTCATCCATTCATTTTCTGCCCATGACAGAATTCAGAGTAGAGAACAGAAGAGGGAGACTGTTTTCAAAAACAGATTTTATAGAAAAGCTGAAATTGTCACACTTTATTAACTTTATTCAAAGTCTCAAGAAAATCTTTATGCAATTAACTCTTCAGGGAGGGAGGGGGAGAGAGAGTATGCATTACAGAGATGGCTGCTCTTGGGTGGATTTATATATTTTTGAGAAACTTAAACTGACCCCTTGTTTCTGCACCAATACTTTGCCCAAAGTGGACCAGAAGTCAAACCTGGATCTCCTAGTTTTGCTCCTTAATGAGGAGGAAACAGAGTTAACCTGGTTTAATCTTGTACTAAGCAAACTCAGGAATGCTCCAGAGTTTTGGCAATTCTCCACACTGGTCCTGATGCAACTATACTCTCCATGTTTGTTCTGCAGTGGTGACAAGGCAGAAGTCAGACAGTCCAGTATGTTCTCAATTTGCTTCTGACACGGTAAAAGAAAAATGGGCCAAAACCCATTTGACCTGATTGATTAGTCCTGGATTATGTGCTATGTCCCTCATAGTCTTAAGTCCCTTAAAACCTCTTGTGTGTGAATTTAATGACATTACTATATCTATCTCTGTCACCAAACCCTTGCACACTCTTGGGGTGAGCGTTACCAATTCACACATCTGGCAAAAGTTCTTCTCTGGACATCAATTCCCATAGATCCTCCAGCCAACATGACCAGTAAAAAAAGTGAAAGGTGACTTTTTCTATGCAAATAAAATCAGGGTGTCCCATAAGTGACTTAGATGAATTTTGTAATTCCTGTCAGACTTCTCTGTACGATATCTTTCCTTAGTCTAATTAATGGCTTAACGTTTATAAGCAATTAATGCAAATTTGCCTTTTTTTACATCAGCAGCTGAGTCCTCAGAGTGATGTCAGCACCTTTAATTGGTTACAGTCTGGTTTTCAGAGCACAATAGTAGATTTTCTCAGTCCTCAAAGGGGACTTTGATATCCATTCATCCCATCAAATCACCTCTATCTATTGTGTAGGGCAGACCCAGTAAAAGCCAAGAAAGTTGAGTCATTTGGAATCTGTGATACTAGAGTAGGTTTCTGGCTTTTCCTTTACTTTTGCCTTGATTGTAAAACTGCAATCAGCCACCTGTCTCTTCTCATCCTGGCACACATTTGAATAGCCAAGGGGTTGGATAAGAAATTTGTAGGATTATGAAGATTTGGGTGGGAGGATCTTCCATTTGGATACGTTGCATATGATAAGAGAGAAAAGAGATGTCTAAGGAATATTGGTGGCCATCCTTTTATTGACTCACACATGTGTAAATTCTCCTAAACATGCAGATGGATAGTTTTGTCCAATGCAGAATTCTGTATTTATCTGAAAATTGTGAAAACAGAGATGTCCATGCAGTGAGTATGTGGTAGCATGGCAATATTCACATGGAGACACACATTGTGCATTGTTTGTTGCACATGCAAATGTGCATTTCATATTTGTTCCTACATTCATTTGCACATTGTTATTGTTCACTAACACAATTGTTAAAATTTGCTTATTTGACTTTGTCAGGGACCAGGAAACTGTCAAAAACTGGAATATTGAACCAAGTCTTTTTTTAGCTTGCAAATGAGAGATTGAGGCCTCTTCCACACAGATGAATAAAATCCCAGATTATCTGCTTTGAACTGGAACATATGGCAGTGTGGATTCAGATATTCCAGTTCAAAGCAGATATTGTGAGATTTTCTGCCTTGATATTCTGGGTTATATGGCTGTGCGGACAGGTCCTGAGTACTGACTGGCGCCATGTCAACTGAGAGAGAAACGAAGTGCACAGTCAAAAGAGTGGACCAGGGGTCAAAAGTGCAGTTCAGGACTATAAACTCTGCAGAAAAAGCAAGTCATGAGAAAGCAAAGTGTCAAAAGAGGAGGGAAGCCTGTAAGTGTAAAGCTAACACTACATCATGATGTATGATCTCAGTCTTTGACTTTAGCAATATTAGCCGAGCTCCTACAACATCAGCCTAGTTATGAATGCATAACTACCATATAAGTTGAGCTCAGATATAACTTAAATTTCCTTAAAATCACCTTTTGTTCAATTTTCAACCCTCCCTGCTCCATGCTTCATCAGAAAAAAATAATCAGGTTTAATTTCACCATCTATTACAATGATAAAATAACCAGATAATGCTGGGGTTCTTTTTCTAAAACGATTTAAAAGTTAATGTGACCTGGACTGCAGAGGTCCATGCATCCTATTGCTTGTCTCCAAAATGAACTGGAACTTTCAAGGAGACACTTTGAACCCCCAGAAACTCTTGAGAGAACCTGATTTATTAACTCCAAGAAGGAATTCCCCTTACTCTCCAAAAATTAAAATATCCCTTGGTCAAGTGGATGTCATAGTCTCTTCAACAGAGGTGGATCTAATTTATCAATTTCTTTGCTCATTCATTCATTCTTTGCACTTCTAAACTATCCAGTGTTAGATGTGGATTTTGTTGTGTTTAGTGTTAGGAAAACAATCCATCCTCCACAGCACTCAACTTAAAGTCCAACTGCAGTCCCCTTGAAGACAAAATAATACCAGGGTGACAACAGGCTTGCACAATAGAAAATACTTTACTCTTTCCAACAGAGTTCCAGCAGATAAAATAAACAGCCTTCTTCAAATGTAGCAGTATGCAAAATAAAATACATCTTAATACAGTTTTGCAAACTTACATGCAAAACAAATGGTCCTTCCCAGAGCGCATAGTACCTGCAATCTGCAGAAAAAACAGAGAACTCAGCACCCACAGTAAGAGTTTGTAAAGAGCTCCATAATGGCATACTGTAACACTACTGATTGTGGTAAGAGAAATCACTTGCCTTTATTGACACATACAGTACACCTCCATGTGGATTCTTTCTTTATACACATACATCTGTGATAACCATAGTGCTGATCCTCACAAAAAACTTGCCCAGTTTTCTATATACCTTAACAAATTTGGAATCTCTCTAAAGGATTCCCACTGAAAAAAGTGAAGGACCTATTTTTGCCTATCCTTTTGAAGCCATATACAAGACTTCCTATGTGATTTGTTAGATGCCTATAACCCTTTAGAGTATATTTTCAGGGGGCACATGAAGCTATAGCATGAAGGAAGAAATTATGAAAATTTCCAACCAACCTCCTTTCTCCAGGACAGTTGAGTTCATGCCTAGATCTAATACTACCCTGCATTAATTGCAAGATTTAAAAGCTTTTGAACACCTTAACATCCAAATTGCCTTGAAGCCAAAAATGAAAGCCAAATATTCTTAAATGTATATACGTATACATTTTCTCTTATAAGCATATTTCCCATTAAATCTGACCTCCCTACCAGTCCCCAAACATAAAAAACCTCTTCTGTTATTAACAGAGCTGCAAGTATTATATATGATTTACTAACAAAACATAAAATTAATCAAATTTCAAGCTTGTGGGAATTTACCCTAAAACAAAGCAGGACAACTGTTGGCACTCCAGCTATTATTGGAGTACACCTCCCATCATCCCTAGCCAGGTAAGAAATTCTGATTATTGCAATATGGCAGACCTATAGATCTGCATAAAAATACTGCTAATTGTTATGAGTTGCATGAGGTGGATCCAATTACTTCATGTGCACCATACAAGAAAGTTAGCATTGCACACTTAGTGATCTTCTAAATAAGGTTACCCAGGAAAAAATAAATAAACCTTCAATGTCTGCTGTAATGGCTGGTATGCTGTGACAGGTATATATAATTTTCCCTACTGAAATGGTTGTACATTGTTGTCCAGTGTCTCTAATCAGTTGATTGCAGAAGCATGATTTCTCATGTGGCGTTATGGTACATTACCCATCCAGATGCATATTGTGCCCGGTATGTGAACCATGCAGATGTTCATTGCACACTTTAATTGTGCATTTCACATTTGTTTCTTCATCCTCTTCATTCAGGCACAATCATCACAGAACTCCATTAAGTGTAAAGTTACTTTCAGGTTCTTGGATATTATTATTTTATTATTATTATTATTATTATTATTATTATTATTATTATTATTAATATTTTGTATGTGTGCAAATGATTAAATCACTGGACAACAGAAACCACTAGGTGGCATTTGTGATTTATTACTCTGAAAGCACAGGCTTCAGAAATATTTCAGCTGATCCCTGTTTTTAGGGAGCCGAGAACATTGAACATTTAATTTGAGAAAAGCCCTATATAATTAAGTTTAAAAGTGTGAGGAAATGTATCTTCCCACTGCATAGCTGAGGGAGCCAACTCTCTGAAGTTCTTGTTAAAATCATATTCTGTTCTTGCGTGTGTATTCCCTGACCCTACCACACCAGCCGTACAAAAGTAATTACTTGTCTACAATTAAGCTGTAAATAATGCAATCACTCTATTCTTTTCTTGTCACTCCAGTTCCAACCACAACAAATAGGGCTAATCACATACTTATTCAAGTGTGTAATTATTCACAGTTAAACTTCTGTCACTTTCACCCTGTTTGGAAACAGCAGAACACAACCTGTAATTAGCTGACATTGCTGCAGGCGCTTTCTCTTGGAAGACAGCCATGGCCTCGGCACCTATGTGAGCAAAGAACACAGCCCTTTGATCTGGAAGCTTGGCATGGTTTCTGCCCTTGGGCTACACCAGCCTTAGCCCACACTAAGACCGTCAGATCAATGAATAAGGATGTCAGAGAAGCCTGGCTCAGCACAGATTTTTCCTCCTCTCCGTCTCATGCATTTCATATCCCATGCACACTCCACATTTTTATGGAGTATATGTTTTCAGCAC